TGTCATTCTTGATCATGGATGTGGGATATGCTCAAGGAGATTCATATTCTTGGACCCATTATGTGCTCAAGTTGCAGGAGCAGAGCAGAGGCATATTGTCCACCAAGAGGCTGTGTTGCAGTTACACACAACATTATTCAGTTGCCTCAATGAGTTTTGGCGAAATGGCATTGTCCATCCGAGAGATGGAAGCGCAGCAGGTTCCCTAAGATAACATGTGACATCTTCTCAAGGTAGATGAAGAAATCCTAACTGTGAAACTGTGTGCTCCCTAAGCCATTTCCAATTTTCTGAATGCAACTTCTAAAGAATCATATGTTTGTTGGGTTGCCTTTCATTTCTTTCAGGGATGAGTCAGGATATACGAACTACATACGCAGTGTCGAACTAAATCCGCTTCTACTGTCAGCATTGAGTCACCCGCATGGTCCATACTGGACTCGGAGGGGGTGCGGATCAGAGTTTCAGTGGGTTCCTTGCAGACCATGGAGTTGCCGCCGGCTAGATCCAGCATGGGAAACCTATGAAAAACGGCGTTACTTTGTGACATGTTATGTACCGTTTCGAGGCAGACATGTGCCAACAGAGCAGACAGAAGCTGGGCATGAAGTTACCCCTATTTTCATGGCGCAGTCTCCGTATGATCCTGTTCAATGATCGCATCACACCCTCCTCTGTACGCCCTTATTGATTACATGCATGCACGCGTCACTGCCTTATTGGCACACCTACCAGGACCAGGCGAGCCCGGGCTCTCTATCGCCGCTCTCCTGTGTTGGCATTTAGGGCCTGTTCTGGAACTCTCCCACTCCGAGCTTCCCAAACTCCACGTGAAAAACGAAGCCGAACGCATTAGCTGCGAGAAGCTGAAATAGCGAAGCTGCGATGGGTCGTAGTGCATTTTTGCGGAGCGAGGAAAACCCAGCTTCACGAATCGACAGAATCTGGAGTTCCTTGTATTTACAACGCTTTGCCTCCGCCCAGGAAAACGATTGGCGCGCACACCCTCATTGCACGGCTCGCGTACAGAATAGAGAAGCCCAGACTCAAACTGTTCTCGTTCCTCTACTCCCTCCTCGAACCCCCGCCGCCGCTAGTCGCGCCGCCAGACCCGCTGCCCCCATCGCCGGCCGAATCCCCTCCTGCGCGTACAGATCCGGCCACCCCGGCCTCTTTCCCGCCGTATCCCCTGCTCAGCGGCGCTCGTCCCGGCACCAGGTTGGAGCAGCGAGCCCTTGACAATGGCGAACTCAGTAGGTCGTCATTGACGCCGGAGCCAGGAGCAGAACCGGAGGCCGAGCCCCCTCGCCCAAACCACAAGGTGAGCTCCTATGTCAGACTTGGTGCCCCTATACTGTTAATGGAAACTGAATTTTTGAGCTCCTATGTCAGACTTGGTGCCCCTGTACTGTTAATGAAAACTGATTTTTTGTGCAGTGTTGTATGTGTACTGCTAAGATATATACAATATGAACTAGTGTCTGCCTAATTGGGTGAATGTAATTTGTGAAGTATAGTACTGGTAGCATATTAACAGTTTGAATTGTGTAGTGCTAACATATTAGTTGTACTGCTAAGATATTAGTTGCTTTGTGAAGTGCTGTTCAGATATGACATGATTTTGGCTTTGCAAAAAACTTCAGTTTACATATTATGCTAGTACATGTGAGGACTAATGTGACATGCATTTTCATAGATAAGTGTCAAGCATGACTGCTGAATGGAGTGTTGAAAACACTTGGATTATGTGCGAGTTGTTCGCCGAGCAAGTGGACGCTGGAAATAGGCCAGGCAATTATTTGACCCCAAATGCATTTGATGAGGTGACAAGACAATTTAAGATGAGAACCGGGCTTGACTACACACATACCCAATTGAAAAACAAATGGGACAAGCTTAAAGCTGATTTCACCTTGTTCAAGAAACTCAAGTTTCGGGAGACCGGAGCCGGATGGGACTATGTGAACAACACCGTGTCACAAGATGATGAGTGGTGTGGAAGAAGGCTAAAATTGTGAGTTCTTTTGCTGTTATATCATGTATCTTAATTTAGCCATATCTCTTTATTTACTAATAATGTGTTTCACTTGTTGCACTACAGGATATTAAAGGTTGTGGTAAGTTCAAGAAGAAAGGACTTGCTAATGAAGAAAAGTTGCCGGTTATTTTTGGAGATATCACAACTGATGGTACAGACCATTGGAATCCCTCTTCTGGCATACCTCCCCCCTCTAGTGCGGCAGTGAAAGAATCCATCAATGTTGACGAGATCGAGGACCTTGATATGGATGATATGGAAGAACAAGCATCTCAGGCAACACCTACTTCATCTAAAGTGAGGCTTGGAATCATCATTCCAGAAAAGAACAAGAAACCCAAGTGATGTGTGAGCAAGTTACAAGGATTGGTGACATTGCCGAGGCTTCTCATTCGTCATTTCAGTCTTTCCTAAAGAAAGATGAGGCGAACTGTGTCATCGGTCATGGATGAAGTCATTGCTTGTGGTGCAACAGTTGATACCGATGAGTTCTTCATGGCTAGCGAGTTGTTTGTGAAGAGGGCGCAAAGGGGGATGTTTCTATACATGCCTCCTGACTCTCGGAAGGGTTGGTTGCGTAGGAAATATGACTTGAAGTATGCGAAGTAGTTAGTTTATATTCCATCTATGTGTGATGCTCGATTATCCTTTGCTATCAAAACTATTTATGTCTTTTATGTTGAACC